TAACCACTGATTTCTAGTCGTGTCCTCTTTTGGAAGGCCAAACAAAGTAGTTTCATTTCACAACGAAACAGCATCACACACCGTGGCCTTGAGTGAGTGGTGGCGGGCGGGCTTGAGAACGGTGCGGCCGGAGAATTCGACGAAGGAGCGTCCGGCGGGCTTGCGGCAACCACATGTGACGACCCCGGGCTGGACTCCGCTTCGTCCACGGTGAAAGCCAATCCGATCCATCATATGACCCCTTTAACGCCTACACTTACCACAAACCTAAACCTACCCTTACAGTAATGCGAATACAGTAATTATGTGTTATATTCGCGGTTGTAGATAGAAGGAATACAGCTACAGGAAACCAACAATAAATAATGTTTTCTACCTATTAGATTGTGTTTTATTAAAGTCTACACCTACCCCAACCCTAAACCTACCCTTACGCCCCATTCACATGGGGCGTCGGCGTCAACGCCTCTCGTTCACTTTGACTGAGTGATGTCAAGCGTTGGCGAAATGAATTTTTGGTCAGTCGCGTAGCGTAGGGTCCGTTGCTCGTGGCAGAAGTTGAAAACTTTTCAACTTTTCAAGCGCCAACGCAGGCGTCAGCCAATCAGATCGCCTTATGCAAATACCCTAACGCAGACGCTAGCCAATCGCGTTCATGCAACACCAGGAAACTAATGTGATTGGCTGTTGTCACTATGATGGTCGCGTCAGCACCAAGCTTCAGAAATGCCCTCAGTCAAGCGTTCGCTGGCTGGCGCTGAGCCAGAGACAGACATGTTTTTACAGCACTGCGCATTATGACCAATCACACACGATGCTGTTGAGCTTATGAGTGCATTGGCTAATCAGAGGTGTTCAGATGAGTCATGGCTAAAATGCTGGTGTTTTCTTCACTCGCTCACTGTCTGAATACCTCTTTCTGGCGAATTCTCTCATTAGAAACAACAAACTGAAGATGTGTGTATGAATCTGTAAGTAAGCTATTCATTTCACAGTGTAAACAGCTTCAGTGATTTTAATGGGAGTTTTTGAGAGTGCTTGAACTCTAGACTGTCAGTGAAAATGTTCTTTGATAATGTAAATGTTCTTTGTTCTCTTTCTGTACAATGAAAGTGTTATGATAAGTAGCCTAACTTACAATGTTTTTATTCACATTAACTTTCAATGTTAAATTCACATTAAATATAAAGTCAGTCGTATTAAAAATATGTTATGGTATGACACCCATATCTGTTACTTAAGTAAACAGACAGGTTTTTATGTATAGTAGACTACATTATTAGGCTACTTTGACCATCGCCCACTATAGATCAACTAACATAATCTATAAAGGTGAGGATCGAGATATTTCATGATATAGTTAATGCGTTTGGGAATGTTTCGAATAAAAAGGAAAAAAAAATAAAATAAAACATGAGTGCTATTGTGGCTGCTGTGTGTCACATGACGAACCTGCCCCCTCAAAAATAATGAGTGCATGACGCCCCTGCTTACAGTAATCCAGATACATTAAATATTGTTGTTCAGCGTGAGAACAAGGATGCAATATTGATGTGCGCATGCACAGTAAACCCTGGTAGGACAATCTGACGGGTAGGATAAAATTCACTGACAAGCTGCGCAAAAAATCGCGCGATTATGAACGTGGTTTTGCGCAGCTCGTCAGTGAACAACGGCTCTGTATGGCATAGTATGGCGTTATTTTAATGACAAATGTGAGAGCGCATAAGCACATTAATATAATGCGCGAGCGCGAATCTCTCCGCTCCCGCACGGATTTCCTTTGCTCTCGCACAAAACCGGATGCTTAAAACGTGTCTCTCCTCTCACTCAAACTGTGTCCGGTGCACTCTCAAATCTCTCTGTGCTCATGCGCTATAGATATTAATTATTTTCACACCTGAATTAAACATTGTCAAAAGTTATCATTATGCACTTTTAAAAAGTAGTCTCAAAACAGATTTGTGCAGGGCCTTTCCTTGATTTTTTATTGTTGTATTTTTGTTTTAACAAACTTGTTATTGTAGCTACTTTGTTTTACTATATCTCTTTTATGTTTGTATTTTGATCTTTTCTGTGAATGCACATATGCACCTCTTTGTAAAGTAGGCTACTTTGTATACACTGTTTTAAAAGGTGCTATATAAATAAAGCTTAAACCAATCAGACCTCCACAACTGACCGATGAAAATACTACGTGAAATCTAATTGG